AGACGACAAGCCTGCGTTGTGCTTGTTTGAAACGACAGATGGACGTGGATTTGGAGTAAAAACACTTGAAGAAATTCCTCGCCAGACCTTTGTGAACGAGTATTTGGGCGAATTGATTGATGCAGAGACCAAAGAAACTTTAGGGGATACAAAGTATATCTTTGAGGTATTAGCAGGCGACAAGGACGAATGTATATCTACCCAAACGATTTCGGAAATTTTGCCAAGTTCATCAACCACAGTTGTCAGCCAAATTGTTGGGCTGTGAATATACCCGATGGGACCACGCGCCGGCTTGCAATAATGAGTTGCAGGAGAATCAAGGCAAATGAAGAACTAACCATCAAATACTCAAACGACAAAGAATATTTCCGCGAGTATTTCACCTGCAACTGCAAGGCTAAGCACTGCATCTCTAACAGAATGTAACTATGGAGGGCTCATTAATGAAGTCGACAACTAACAATTTTATTTACTTCTAACCTCGGTTATTTTCTATAGCGTATTTTTCACAGAAATATAAAATTAAACTTGCAGCCACAAGTACGCTTTATAGATTTATCATCCTACCGATGTCTCCGCATTATACCTACTTGTACTTGGGCGAAGGCTGCCAAGCGGTAAACACATGGTGCACTTGTAGTTGCTGAATTTGTGCATACTTCAGATAACAATGATTGTTTCTAACGCCTTCACGTATTAACCTGCACTCTGACTCATAGGTAATTGTTAATCTGATTGGTTAGTTTGAAAGATGCATCGCCGCTATTCGTTAATATTTGAAGTCTTTCTAACCATGTAAATTTGCTTCCAAACAAGTTTTGCCGATCAATACATTATTGAGGAAGTACAACGCATCCATGGAATTACCGTCCTACGATCCTGTTTGCTGTGTATCAATTGATTATCCTGCGAAGTAATACCCGTAGTGAAGCGATGTAGTACCTGTAGTAGCAAGAGCAATTCGTTCTTGCTTCTTTCTCCTCCACCGTGAATGTTATTGTGGAGACTCGACGGCTTTAGCCTCATTTTTAAAATAGGATATATATGCATATAGCATAGTTAGATTTATGGAATCATAAAACCTTAAAAAAACGATCTTAGTCCGAAGATGATTGCGAATCGTACTTTTAAAACCAAACTATCGTGAAATACTCTGGCTCTTTTTTTAAAAATGGAGTCCATGGAGAAGAAATTTCAATGATTTGGCATGATCCGGGTTATAGAAAAGCCTCCGGTGCACGGATGCTATTATCACTGTTGTACTGTCCTTGCATGTACCACAAGATGAGTGTAACTTCTCAGGACCGATATTTGAAAAGCGAGCCATGACGAAGAACAGCCCAATCGTTCAGGGATCGATTTTAGACAAGCGAACCAAGACAAACACGCTTGCTAGTCAGTAATCCAGTTTGACATTGACTGCACCCAGGATCAGTCCGTTTCCCATTCGCTTCTCAATCACATCCTGAATCACTATTTGAATTGGCTGCAAATGGAGACCACCCGAGCGCACGGTAAGCGCAAAAGAGATTATTCTGACGACGAAAACGACGACGAGGGAGATCTGCTAGCATTTCTGGATGACCAGTATCACCACGAGCAAAAGTATGTAGCTGTCGCCGCTGACAGTGTCAATTGCTTGGGTCCTTGCGGTGAAATCTCTTTGAAGCATCCTTTACACAGTGGACCTAAACCGTCACTAGAATTGGTGCAGCAGAACTCAAAACATGAAAGCAATACTACGATGGATAACTTCGATGCTCTCTTACTCCAACAGAAGATCGAACGAAAGCGCGAGCAAGATCGGCTACGTCAACGGCGATTTCGTGAAAAAACGGCATCTCTGCAGATGGGCAACCCGTTGTACCAGCATGATAACGAAAGTGAGTGTGAGTTGATTCCCGGTGAACAGCAAGAGTTGCGAGCTTGTTCCCCAGACGAAACGATCACTGAGCAGAGCTTTGCGTTTAATCATGAACTAACTCCCACTCAGCGTGTAGAATGTTTGAGTCGACTTCGAAAGGCGTTGGGACCCGACGGGCTAGATGAATGTGTCTGTACTGTGTGTGACAGACTTGAAATTCGGTGCGAATCTAGGCGAATTGATGACGATAAGATGAAGAAATGAACATTGAGCAAGAAAATATTTGTGGTAGGAATGATACAATTCCGGTCATGAGTGAGAATGAAGAGGCGAATGTGATTGAGCGGCGCATTGGGCTAGCTGATACATGCACGCCATTATTAGCACACGAGCTGCCTCCAGCACCGATCAGTGGAGAGCAGCAGTTTGAAGTGCGCCGATCTGATTAAATATCTAGTGATGCCTCAGGAGACCTATTAACCAGAATCTTCCCTCATCTTTTCCCGTTTGGGTGCGGACACCCTGGTGAATTCCGAGAAGTTTAGTCTCTACTCACGAATGTTTGAAATATTACACTTTGCTAAGTGAGCGCCAGTTTGCCGAAGATGAACTATTTTCTCTGGTTGCGTTTGATCGGATCTCACTTCAAAAAATGTACGCCGTTAATAATTTCCGATGCCAACGGTTCCCCACCATTTTGGATGGCTACGAACGTTTGACTGGGGAACAGCTTGGCAGGGCGATTCTAGAAAACGAGAGAAGTCGTCAGGGATGCATTCCGTGGCGTTCTGATGCTGACTTTGTCGCTCAAAAATTTCTTAAAACAGTGGAGCTTGGGAGCAGGTCGATATGGGGCAGTAATGCGGAACGCTCTCAATGTAGGCATCAAGCGTTTGCTTATCAAACACGTTTTGGACAACCAGCACTCTTCGTTACACCCCGAATACTGATAATTCGTTAGTGTTGGCACAATACGCTGGTATTTCTTCGATGGAAACATTATTCGATGTGTTGGAGTCACGTTTGCCAGAGCAGGCTGAATTGAAGGAAGCGAGTTTAAAAAACGATTGCGCTTCCACGCGGTTGTTCATGCGGCAAGTGGATGCTTTCATTAAATTTGGCTTGGCATTGATCCCAAAACGAAGAAAAGGCTATCTTTTCGAGGACTACTGATGTAAAGGCTTATTTCGGCATGGTGGAAACTCAAGGCAGGGGTACCTTGCACATTCATTTCTTGATATGGCTAAATAATTGTCCACCTAACTCTTCTGCTGTCGAGTGCTTGCTCCGGAGTCCACATGGAGAACGTTTTCAAGAACAAGTTAGTTGAGAGAGGTGATGAACTGCTTGAGGGAGATAATGCAAAAAGCAAAGTGACATTGATAGAGGCACGAAAAGCGAGCTCGTCGTTCTCCTTTGAGAACTTCACGAGAACATTGCGCAGTCAAGTCGATGTGCCTGACTTCAATGATGCGCGGGGAGAATCTGTGTCTGGCGACGCGCGTGGACATTTGATGACGCCAGACTCACATGTGCCACTTGTTTAGTGTGGGCCACTATCCAACTCACCCCCCACAAGCGGTGCATGGAAACTTCCGTCTAAACAAGGGACTCTACCAGGCCGCAAAGTGCTCGTTTCCGCTGGAACTGTGTCCGCGCGAGTGCTTCGGTGAGAAGATCGGCTGGCATATCTCCCGTTGGGATATACTCGACCGTCAGTTCGCCCTTAAGGATTAAATCCTTGACCGCGTGAAATTTCACGTCGATAGTCTTTTGAGTTTCGCTGAGTCCGCTGCGCTGCAGACGCTGCATAGCAGGTTGACTGTCCATGCCAAGACGCAACGGCAACTTCGTCTGCAGGACCTCGTTCGCGATCAATTGCACCATCAAGGCCTCTTCGACCCCGATGTCCGCCGCCACGTATTCTGCCGCCGTGCTTGATTTGGGCACAATTGTCTGCTTCTTGCTCATCCAGGCCACGGGGCACCCGAACAAGTACACCAAGAAACCAGACACGCTCTTTCGGTCCACGCGATCGTTTGCCCAGTCAGCGTCTGTGACAACGATCACGTCTTCGCTGGTAGGCTGGAGCTTCAGCTGCATATTTTTGGTGGCGCCCAGGTATCTTAGCAAAAACGTCACTGCATCCCAGGCTACCTTCCGGGGTGAGGCCGCGTGTCGAGCCAACTGCCCAACTGCAAACATGATGTCTGGCCTGGATACTCTCGCCAAATATAGTAGAGCGCCCACCGCCTGCCGATACGGCATTTTAGCCATCTTCGAGCGTTCCTCGTCTGATGGTCCTCCGTCAGTGAAATCCAATCTTGTGTTTGCAATCATCGGCAAGTGTGACGGGCGCGTTTCCTCCATGGCGAATCGGTGTAACATCTCGTCAATGTACGACGTCTGGCTCACCAAGACTGTGTCGTCTGCAGCGCGATCCACCTTCATCCCGAGAAAATGGTCAGGTGTGCCCATATCCTTGGCTTGGTAACGTCGGCTAAGAGCGGCCATAAGCCGTAGGCACTGCTCTTCCTGCTTATGCGCCACAAGTATATCATCCACGTAAATGCACACCAGTAAGAGAGAATCTGCCACATACGCGAAGTAAAGGCAAGGATCAGCTTTAGTTGGCGTCAAACCGAATTCGATCAAGAACGCGTTGATCTCTTGGTTCCACTCGCGTCCGGCCTGCCGCAAGCCGTATAGAGCCTTGCGAAGACGCCATACCTTGGTTTCGTCACCTGCTTTCGCGTAGCCCGGGACAGGCTTCATGTATATTTCTTCGAGGAGGTTCGCCTTCACGTATGCCGCCGGAACGTCTCCTTGGCGCATATGCATCTTGTAATGTACGACGATCACTAGAAAAACACGCACGGTGACTAGGCCGGCAACCGGAGCGTAGGTTTCGAGAAAGTGTATGATCCATATCTGCTTGTCGCCGCGAGCACACAGTCGTGCTTTGAATCGTTCCAACGTTCCGTCAGCGCCAGTTTTCAGCCTAAACTGCAGCGTATGATCACGGACGCGCACACCTTTTGGCGGTTCTACCCATTCAAACGTTCTGTTGGCAAATAAGGAAGTAACCTCATCGTCAATTGCCCGTTTCCACTGTGGCCATTGGGGAGAGCACTTTGCTTCGGCTAAGTTCAGCGGCTCCTTGATGATGTCACTTAGTACAGCAAACGCTTTTGCTTGGGCTATTGTGCGGCGAGCAATACGCTGCGAACGGCGCACTGTGGCCAGCTCAGACGGAAAAGCACCTTCTCGCTCGTCCTGGTCGGTCTCTGTGTCACTCCCATGTTCATCTTCGCCATCGGAATCAGTTTCATTTTCATCATCAGCGTCAGGGTCCACTTCAAACAGCATTCGATCCACTACAGTCACGTCTCGAGAAGTAAAGATCGATCGGTTATTGCTCTTCGCGTACACAAAGAAGCCCTTGATGTCCTCCGCGCACCCGATAAACGCGCCCAGCTGTCCCCTGGTGTTGAGGAATCGTTTTCTTTTGCGTCGAAGCTGGTCCGGCACACGGGCCACCACGGCTTGACCAAAAATTGGTATGTTGCTCACGTCCGGTCGTCGCCCGAATATGCGCTCAAATGGAGTGATCTCAGCGCCGCGTCGAGGTATTCTGTTTCGTATGAACGTGGCGTGCTGTAGAACAAATTCCCAGAGCTTATGCGGTAGTCCAGAGTCCACTAGTATTGCCGCTGCAGTTTCTGTCACCGTTCGAATGCTCCGCTCGGCTACCCCGTTCTGGAAGGAGGTATACGGAGTGGTGTGTTGCATCAGAATGCCGTTGTCGCGCGCTATCTTCCTGAAGTCCTTGTTCAAGAACTCCGTCCCGCCGTCAGTACAAAACACTTTGATGGAGGTAGCCGACACTTCTGCTTGTCGTTCGATCATGACCAAAAAACGCTTGATCATCGTGGCGGCTTCGTTCTTACGCTTCAACGGATATGTTTGCACGTAATCCCGCCAAACTACTACCATGAAGTATCGATATCCGTTGACAGACTTAGCAATAGGTCCAGCCAGATCCACGTGACAGATTCCATCAGCAACCTCGTCGGGACTGGATCGCGCGGAGGGGACTGGCTGTCTGGTGGACTTGGTTAGCGCGCACACCGTGCACATTGCTGGTTTGGTTCCTGGAGCGATACGTAGCCCTCGTACCGTAGTTTTACTCGCCATTTGCTTCAGCGTTTCGTAGTTCACGTGTCCAAGCCGTCTGTGCCACATCTCCAGCGTCTGCCCTAACGCAGTAGCCGACAGTCCAGAGGCAGCGTCCTCAAGAGGGTCTTTGGCCTGTGCAGAAACCACCGAATACACGCCGCCATTCAATCGTGCAATGCACGCTGTCCGTGCTCGGGAACCCGTCGTGATCGTGCAGCTCGATGGTCCGAAAGTCACCGTATGTCCGTCGCGCCAGAGAGCAGATACGGAAAGCAGCGTATGTGGTAGCTCTGGCACGAAATACACATTTTCCACGACGAAAGTCTTCTCGACTTCTTGCCCTGCTTGATCCAGGACGAGCACCAGGACGTGTAGCCGGCCCTTGGCGCGTGCAATGACTGTCCTTCCATCAGCCACACGGATGGCTAGAGTCACATTGTTGTCAGTCACTTCAAAACCCTTTTGACGGCCTGTCAGGTGGTGTGACGCCCCCGAGTCCACTAGGATCGGGCCACACCTGACGCCCAACCTTCAGGTAGAATCCTCGGCGGAATCCTCCGCTGACTCCTCCATTGTAGCCTCTGCCTTAGCCAAGTTGCCTCGTCCAGCTTCGTCTTTGTTTTCCTCCTTTGAGTCCGCAAGATGCTGGCGGTGGTACTTAGCCGTGTGACCGTCTTCACCGCAAATGTAGCAGACAATGGACCCGCGACGTGGCGCCTTCGTGGGTTTCCGTTTTCTCTCGATGATCGCCGAGTTAGCTTTAGCAGGGACGCACTCGACTTGGGTCCTGCTGGCTTCGGCTTCGAGCCAATCGCTCTCAGCGAATGTTCCACTCGCTGATCCTTCGATCCGCCTCCCGTCTTGCGGCGCTTGTAGTCGTCTAAGCGACCATCTGACTGCGAGAGCTCACTAAGGAACTGGACCGCGTCGTTCAGCAGGTCAACTGCGGCACCTCGCCTTCCTCGAACGTGAGCCTGAACAATGTCCTTGCGTTAAGGCCATGCCAGGCGCAGGAACGTTCCCAAGGCGTGCTGCACATTGGATGCGTTGTCGACGCCCCCTGCTAGTCCGGCGACCATCTGCATCAGTCGGTCAGCATACTCCTGGTATGTTTCCGACGCTCGCTTTCCCTCCGAGTAAATTCGGGCTGTGATCTCTTGATCAGTAAGGGTCGGTCGAAACTTGGCGACGAGTGCATTCCCGGTGTCTTCAAAAGTCGCGTTGGGGTGTCCCTTACGGTAGGCTTTCAGCTAGCGACGGGCAGACCCACTCAGAAAGATGGATAGCGCTGACTTCTTGATCGTGTCTGACCAGTCCTGGCCCGCCAGCACTTGAGCATCGTCGAGCTGGTCTGAAAACTGTTCCCACCATTCACGGACGCCGGAGTCGTACGCGCCCGGAAGCACGACACCAGAGAAGGACTCCGACTTCACGTTCTTCAGGTCGACCTTCTCCGCTCGTTTCGTGGTGTCTCCATCACCTCGTCCTCCCATGGCCGGTGCTGGGTTTGGCTCATCGTCCGGCTCAGGAGCACCGCCGGGAGCCGCCATTGCGGTGGGCGGTGCGGCTGGAATGGCTGCGACTGCGTCGTCTTGAGCAGCAACCGGTGGCAACACATTCACGTCATGCGCAGCAAGGGCGTCTGCTGCGTCTCCTTGAGCGCCTTGACTACGAGTGTTTGGACGAGTTTTCATGGAGCGGATGCGGCTGTTAACCAGTTGAGAGAGGTGATGAACTGCTTGAGGGAGATAA